ACCCAGGGCCTCAGGCATGCAAGGCAAGCACTCTACCACTGAGCCAACTTCCCAGCCCCTGCAGCTTGAAATTTTTATTTGTTCCTCTACTTGAGTACATGCATATAGTCATGGAGGTTCAATAATGAAAAATTTCAGTTTTGCTACTTTTCTGTACAGTACTGCCCCAAAACAGGAAGTTGGAAGAAGAAGCTACTTCCAATGGTTTTTTACTGTATGTGATGAGTCATATTTAATTTTCATTGGGATGAATGTGGATTCAGAATGCTGGTGAAAAATAAATCTTACTTCTTTTTCTTGGTAGTTTGAGGATTGAACCCAGGACCTTAGGAATGCTAGATTAGTGCTTTACCACTGAGCTGCAAATGCCACCCTTAACACCAATACCATTCTTCTCTCTTATCTGTTATCTCTTTTTATTTTGTTATTTAATGCATTTTACCAGTCCCACATCATTTCAATGTCAACATAAAAGAGTTCTTTGCCAAATTCTTCTAGCAATCTGTTCCCTTGAAGCAAGAACCATGTTAACCATCCTGACTCTTCAGTTTCTGCAACACTTCGGACACCTAAGTGTTATTTGTGAATCGAATTAGTTGACAGTAAGCCTCTTATACTTTGTTATGGTCTCTACCTTCTTGTTTTAAAAGTAACTCTTAAGTTGACATACACAAATTATACGTATTTAGCTGAGTACTGGTGGCTCACGACTGTAATCCTAGCTACTCAGGAAACTGAGATCTGAGGAGTGGGGTTCAAAGCCAGCTGGGGCAGGAAAGTCTGTAAGATTTTCATCTCCAATTAATCAGAAAAGAAAATCCAGAAGTGGAGCTATGACTTAAGTGATAGAGTGCTAGCCTTGAGCAAAAGAAGCTCAGGGACAGCACCCAGACCCCGAGTTCAGGCCCCAGGACTGGTAAAAAGAAAACAATATATACATCGAGTTCTATGTGAAATTCCCAACTTCTCACTTTATCATCTTGTTTCTAATATTCCATCCAGAGAGAAGTTAGCTGTTGTCCTCTGGACGTAGTGTACCACTTTCCCAGAGGCTCTTCAGGCCACTAAGCTCCTGTCCACACGGCTGGCTGATTTGTCAGTTCAAGTCACCCAATTCAACTGACATCACCACAGCTTGCAAATTCCAGTGTTAGTATTAGTGCTTTAGTAGTGGTGGTGTTTAGGCCTGCCCTACATATCATACCATCATGTCCTTATTTATACACAACTTGCATCATGTGTGGTATAACATTTAAAAATACTTCTGAGATAGGTTTTTATAGCAATCAAAAATAAATATGAAAACTGAGACACCTATGTCTGTTTACTTCCAAAATGCTACATTGGTAGCCAAGATAGAAGGATGAGTTGGGTACTAAAGCAGTCCATACAGACATATTGACTTGATTTCTCTCCCTGGTAACTAGCACCACTATGCTCCATTGGCACTGTGTATTTGTGTGTGTGTGTGTGTGTGTCCGCGCACGTGCATGCATGCCAGTCCTGGGGCTTGAACTCTGGGCCTGGATACTATCTCTGAGCTTTTTGTGCTCCAGGCTAACACTTTACCACTTGAGCCACAGCTCCATTTCCAACTTTTTTTTTTTTGATAGTTTAGTGGAGATAAGAGTCTCACAGACTTGCTTGTCTGGGCTGGCTTTGAACTGGGATCCTCAGATCTCAGCCTCCTGAGTAGCTAGGATAACAGGTATGAGTCACTAAAGCCTGGCTCGGCACTGTGTATTTTACCACAGCATGAAACAAATTCTTTCCCAAGTCTCATGCATTCTCCAGAAATGAATAAAAGCAGTTTTAAACTTTCACTTCCCCATACTCTATAAGCAAGGACAACTGCTAATAGAAAACCACATTGGAGACTGCACATAGATGTTTACACACACACACACACACATTCAGATAAATACTTTTATACATCTTAAAGATATCAAGCAAAGTGGCCGGGCATCAGTGGCTCATGCCTATAATCCTAGCTACTCAGGAGGCTGAGATTTGAGGATCGTGGTTCAAAGCCAACCCCGGGCAGGAAAGTCTGTAAAATTCTTATGTCCAATAAAGAAAAAAAAAACACCAGAAAAAATGGAAGTAGTGCTGTAGCTCAAGCAGTAGAGAGCTAGCCTTGAGCTGAAGAGCTGAGGGACAGTGCTCAGGCCCAGAGTTCAAGCCCCATGACCTCCAAAAAAAAAAAAAAAGATACCAAGCAAATTTAGCAGCTGTGTGAAAACAGCCACCACACAGCACTAACACTGGAGCGTGGAGTCAGGTGGGAGAGGAGTTGAGGGTGAGGCTCTGAGGGAGGCTAGAGCCTATTCCAGAAGCCATCACACCCATAAGGAATTTGCCATGGGTGTCCACATGGCACCCTGCCACACACCACACCAGGGCCTGGCCCTCATTTTCCACATTTTCCATAGTGAGTCAGTCATCAAGCGACCGATGAAAATGCCACTGCATTGCCCTGCAATCCACATTTCATGTGGGAGGAAGGCCCACCCTGCCTTTCCCCAGGCACCCCAGGGAAGTCGCTATTCTCATCCTAAGAGTTCCAGGCAATCTCACAATGGTGACATTTGCTGGCCAGTGGCTTAAATAAAGGGCTCTCAGTAAGCAAGATGGTAATGTGAAGCAGAGTTCTCCCCAGGAATGCTCTTTGGGAAAGACTCCCAATGAAAGAGAGCATAAAGCCACAGCAGAAGAGCTGGGCCCCAGAGGGTCCCACAGCTCAACCATGGCAGAGACTTTCAGCAGAACTCACTGAGAGGAGGTAAACAAATTGTTGCTTGGGGGGAAAAAAAAGAGTCAGCATAAATCCTTCATGTGGCTAATTTTTTTTAAATGCCAAATAATCTCCAGTACTTTCTTCCCCCACTCAAACTGGGAAACTTAGTTCTCCTCCCCCCCTTAATTATTCACTGTAGAACACACTTTATAGTGTTTCTCAAGTCAATTCTTCCAGTACTTCATAAATCTAAATACTCTGGAAATGGAAAAAAAAAGAAACTTCATGTGTTTTCTGTTTCTTGTGTGTGTGTGTGTGAACCTTTTTGCTCAAGGCTAGTGCTTGAGCCACACCTCCAATTCTGGATTTTTTTTTGGGGGGGGGAGGATGGTTAAATGGAGATAGGAGGCCCCAGCTGGCCTCAAATCTTGATCCTCAGATCTCAGCCCTCTGACTAGATAGACTTACAGGCATGAGTCACCAATGCCAGGTCTCCAATTGCTGCTCAATCACAGAGACCCCTCCAAGTCCTGCTGTGATTACCACAGTATGAAACCAGACCACAGTCCTGGAGGGTTTATTTCCTTGGGAACGTGAAGGTGGCTGGGTCTGGACACGCTCCATGTCCTGCACCCCCAGGCTCTGTGGAGAGTTTCAGCTCCATCATTCCAAAATCGGATTGCACAAACTCTTGTAGCCAACAGGACCTTGTGACATTACCCAGACAGATGACCAGATTGCTGGCTTGTCCATCGCTGCCCTCAAATTAACACATAAATCTATTTCCTTCAAACACTCTATCGTTTGAGTTATATAACTGCCTTTCATTTGAACTCATTCATCAAACTGGATGGTGGGGATTAAAGACCTAATTTAATTCTTGAATGGGCTCAGATTTTACTTTTAATGACTTCCACTACTGACAGAAATAAAACAGTGATCGCTCGATTTGATTTTTGAAGCTCGAATCGCCGCGTTTCCTCTTTCACCAAGAACTTCGCTGTTCTTGCTCTCCACGTCGGGTGTGGTTTGATAGGGAGGGAGGGGGGACAAAAAGAGAAGAGAGCGAGCGGAGCGGGGGAGGGGGCCGGCAAACAACTTCAGAAGAAGAGTCCTTCCGGCCTTCTTGTGGTCTCCTTTGGAGGCTCTTCAGGATGTGTAGAAGGTTCACACCAAGAGAGGAATAAAGCCAGTTCTTAAGAATTCCGGGCGCTCTCGGCTCCCTCCTCCCCGCGCCCCCTGCCCCGTGCGCCCCACGACCGGGTCGGGCCGCCCCCACCCCGCACACATCCAAACAACAGCCTAGATCGAAGTTGGTAAAACATAAGAGCCCGGCAGTCCCGGGGGCTCGCCGTTCAGGGTCCCCAAGTCAATCAACCAATCTCATCTAACGGTTTCTCCTAAACCGCTAGGGAGCCTGCAACTTCGGCGGGGCATCCGTGAGTGAGTCACTGGCCCGGTGACTCAACGACCCCACCCCGGTCCCCTGGGCTTTCACCCGGAGCTCTGGCGTCCACGGCTGGACTGAATCCACGAGGCCCCGGAGATCAGGACTCTCCCCCCCCTCCCCGCCCCGAGGCCCACGATCAAGTTGCTAAGAGGCGCGGGGGGCGCGCGCGCCCGCAGCCGCAGCCTTCGCTGGGCCAGAGAGCGATGCACGGCGACATCGTCCGGCGCCGGGCTGCGTGCGCCCCGCGCCCCGCGCTCGGGTCTCGGGGCCGCTATTGTTTCTTCTTTGTGTCTCTCGATCCGCTGGATCGCTTACACCAACCCCCCCCCTCGCCCCCTCGCCCCTTCCCTGCTTCTTTGCCCGCGGGTCTCCCCACACACCCGTCCACCCCTCCACGCCCCGCGGGCCTCAGCCCTGCGGCCGCTCCCTTCCACGCCCCTTTGGGGACTTTGGGGGCTTCCTTTCGGGGCGCTCGTGTCTCCCCACGCAGGGCGATCCCGTCCTTTCTCAGCCCATGGCTCCCCCCGCCCATGCCCAACTTGAGCAGAGTTGGGGGCCATCTTCAGGAAAGCTCCTGAAAGTCCCAGACAAGACGAAGAAGTAACGGGATCGTGCCGAGAAAGAAGGCTTGGGGAGGGTGGGTGTGGGTGTGGGTGTGTGCGGCGGCGGGAGGGGGGGGGACCGCACCCCGCGCTCCCCGCCCGCCTCCTTCACTTCTTGCCGGGTCCCCATTGGCTGGCGCGCTCCGGGATGGGGGTGGCGGTGGGAGGGGACCCCTCTTTCCTAACCGGGTTATAAAAACAGCGTCCTCGGCGGGGTCCCGTCCTCTGCCGCTCCAGCTCCGGGGTCCCCGCGCCAGAGACGCAGCAGCCTCCCCCCCCAGCCACCTCGCGCGCCCTCGCTCGCTCAGAGCCGGTCCGCAGCCGCCCAGCCCAACGCCTCTCCCGCTCCTCAGCCATGTCCACCCGGTCGATGTCCTCCTCCTCCTACCGCAGGATGTTCGGCGGGCCCGGCACCGGGAGCCGACCGAGCTCCAGCCGGAGCTACGTGACCACGTCCACCCGCACTTACAGCCTGGGCAGCGCGCTGCGCCCCAGCACCCACCGGAGCCTCTACGCCTCGTCCCCGGGCGGCGGCTACGTGACGCGCTCCTCGGCGGTGCGGGTGCGCAGCGCGGTGCCCGGCGTGCGCCTGCTGCAGGACTCGGTGGACTTCTCGCTGGCCGACGCCATCAACACCGAGTTCAAGAACACCCGCACCAACGAGAAGGTCGAGCTGCAGGAGCTCAACGACCGCTTCGCCAACTACATCGACAAGGTGCGCTTCCTGGAGCAGCAGAACAAGATCCTGCTGGCCGAGCTGGAGCAGCTCAAGGGCCAGGGTAAGTCGAGGCTGGGGGACCTCTACGAGGAGGAGATGCGGGAGCTGCGGCGCCAGGTGGACCAGCTCACCAACGAAAAAGCCCGCGTGGAAGTGGAACGGGACAATCTGGGCGAAGACATCATGAGGCTCCGGGAGAAGTAAGGAGGTGTCCCGCTCCGAGTATCGCGGGGGAGGGGCGGGGGAAGAGGGAGGGAGGGCAGAGGGAGGGCGGGGGAGCGCAGGAGGGGGGACGCTCCTCTCCCCCCTCCCCTTTAAAAGGGCTGCCACGCCCTTGGCGATGTGGCGGGGCGGTGGCTACCCGGGGGACAGGGGAGGAGGGAGCAGGGCTGTGGCTGCGTCGCGCGCCCCGCCCTGAACCCCGACTTTGTAGCTGACACTTGTTTCCCTTCCAATCCCCTCTCCCCCCCTCCACCCCTCGCCCAGAGTTTTTTTTTTAAACATTTCAAAGTCAGATTGCTTTAAAACAAACAAAACTTCCCTTTCTCTGTGTGCGTGGAGGGATCCCCTTAAACTTTCCAAAAGTGTTTTGTGTTTTTTTTTTTTCTGGCTCTTTCTGGCGAGCTGCCAGTTTTACCAGGCGGGAGGAGAGGGTGATCCTGAAGGCTGAGAGACAATGGGGGGGGTGGCTGAGGCTTCTTCGAGGCGA